ACAAAACATGACGTTTTAGACACAAAAAAAAAGCGTGACGGTATAGACGCAAAACAACGGAATAGAGTGTATATGCGCACCAAACGCGTTTATTAGCTCCAACCTCATGGAAGCACAAGTCAGAGCAAGCGCCCATCACCGATCCCTGAACAAAAATGTCGACACGGAACTTCGTAGATCAGGGAACGCAGTAAACGCAGGGAGAGCTACATACATCTATTGCACGATGCCCCCTCGGTCCTGAGGGTGCAGCGTAGAGCATCCTAAAAATAACCCCAAGGTGGCGAGCGGGAAACGACTTGCTCCAAGTGGAGAGGGAATCTTAACCTTCCACCAAGAAACGCTAAAAAAAGAACGATGATTGTACAGACAGCGGGACACAAAAAAGCACTGCTCTGGTTGCATTATTTATCTCGAACGGCTCTAGTCATTCTTTGACTGTGTGTACATTGTCTGACAACCACGAGAGGGGTGAAGCACCGCTACGCGGAGCAACAAACCAACACCTGAAAGGCCGTCTACTCCACCATACCTCCGGCGTGCCCTCGATCCCGGCGAACTCCCACCAGTCCTTGAACTTGGCGGACCCCGCTGGTCCGAGCTTTTCGGCTCTCCAAGCAGCCGTCCCCACCGCAGTCGCCGGTGCCTTTGGTAAACAGCAAGGGAGGGAGGGGGGGGCGTACTCACGCTTCAGTTGGTAGACCATGGGGGGCGGGGGGGATGCTCATGATTTGCAAGTCATAGCTGTGGTAGACCATTGCGAGGGGCGGGGAAAGGGGGCACTCATGACTTGCATGTCTTAGTTGGTAGACCATTTGCCGAGGGGGGGGCGTACTCTCATTTTTGCATGCTTTAGCTGTGGTAGACCAATAGACCAATGACTACGCGTTCTCGAGAGAACAGGGCATTGCTCCCACGAGACCGATCACGGATGGCCAATCGTTCCCACTCTTACAAAGGTGGCTCATAAATATTCCCTGTCCTATCTATCCTATCGATATCACTTGTCGCCTTTTCAGCCCACTTCCTATGCCCAAGTACAGCTACCGTCTTCTCCTGTCCATTCCATGCCTCAAACATCTCTTTGCACCTTCCTTCTGTTTTTCCCAGCTCACTCATGGACACCTCTCTCTTTCTTTTCGTAAAACGGGCATTCTGCAACTACATGACCCCCGTCTTTGCACTCGGCGCCGAAATAATACTTGAACTTGTCCACGTCTTCGTCTACCTTCCTGAATCTTCGCCTAAGTTATCGAAGGCTGCTGTCCCCAGCCCCAAATTTGACCTTCAGCTTTTTGTCTCGGCATCCATTATGTGTAGGTACTCCTTGAACTTCCTTGTGTCGACATTCCGGTCACATCTAGACCCTCCTTATCCTTGGTGTCTTTGGTTAGATTATGTTCTTCTCTCTCGGCAAAAGCAACAGGTAGCTTCTTCTTGACACGATCCAGGCCTACGGTTTCCAAACTACAAACTCCGCCAATTTTGAACTCCTTCCTATAAGTCATCTACAACCGTAGCCCACTCCGTGGGTTGTCTGCCCCTCTTCTTGTTTACCCACTTCGCTTCCCAAGCTATTCTCGGCGGCCTCTCCTCTCTCCCATATCGTGCACACGACTGCTTTTGTAGCTTTCATGTTCTTCCCGATCGTAGGGATTTGATCCGCATGTTTGTCCGTACTGTTGCATTTCTTGCGCTTGGAGCATCCTATGATGACTCTAGCTGCTTTCATCTGTGCCGCTCCGAGCTCTGACTACCTTCTTACTTGCTTCCCATACTCCTCTCGCGTACTACAACATAGTGGCGGGATGATTACGCTCTTCAAAACTGCCAATTTGATGCGCATATCGAGGTGCCAATTTACGAGAATTGGGCGTAACTTCCCTGCTGACTCTTCGCCCTTTCCCCCTACTCTGGACATACATGAACTCCACATACACTTTTTGCCATCTCTAGTTCGAGGTACGGGTACTGATACCAGAAACTTCTCCATCTCCCGCTCCACCAGGGTAATGGTTCGTATTTTGATTACCATCACGCAGTCCCCTTTTGGAAGTGTGTTGTGAACATCCAGCAACCCATCTCCGTCGATCGACGCACTGCTGTCGAATGGCGTGGGCGTATATCTTCCCCCCCCTCCCCCTCCTCGTTGGGTAATGATATGTAACGAGGGGGGGGGGGTGTACTCATAGTCGCGCATGCCGTAATCGTTTGACCATTGACCTCGCATCCCTACAAAGCCGGGACGGAGCACGCCGGGTTCTCACCGGACCAGGCTCTCACATCACCAAGCGCGAAGCGCCGTGAGGTATTTGGCGAGTCGCATGAAGGGTGAGCTGCATCCTGCTAAGGGTGTTCGGCATCTTGTGCTTACTTCCTTGCGTACGGATGACAGCTACGTATGACTTAGTTTATTTTCTGGTGCTTTCACTTCCAGAGACAGTTGTAAGCACTGTGTAACTGCCTCGAGGAAGCTTGACCATTTTAACACAACGTGGTGCGATCATCCCCCGTTGCGCGGAGTGAGGTTTCTCGACCCCGCACAACATGATCTACTCGACCACCATTATGGTTACCGCCAAAAAAAAAACCGAGGTAAAAAAAAAAAACGGTAACCTGGTTGCCGAGTTCACGAAGTGAATTGGCTTGTTTTACAACGTCGTTGCCAAGCGACGAAAACCCAATCCCGATGGCAAACACCGAGTGGGGGGCTTGTTTTACAACGTCGTTGCCAAGCGACGAAAACCCAAACCCCGATGGCAAACACCGGGGGGGGGTGGGTGGGGTAGAGAGAGAGAGAGTGGGATGCCCACGCCGAACAGCACACATACCAGCACAGCTCACCGACCAGCGGAGATGGTTTGCTTGATTTTTCACAACACGCTTCAAAAAGGGGACCGCGCGATCGTAACCTAACACGACGGCGACGGAAGCACATCATCGGTAGTAACCATGACAGCTAGCGCCAGAGATTGAGAAACAAACCTTCAAGAAACTATAGTCTAAGGGTCATATTTTGGCGATCAATACAAAAATCGACCCAAGAAACTCATCAGCCGTGGATCCTACACAATACTCGATATAATATGTAATGACCTATTCTCGACGGCGGCGACGAAACAAGACAAGGGGCCTCGACCCCAAACTGGCGTTTCTTACACGCCGGCGGTGACGGTACCCAACAGGCATTACGGGTGGGTACATACCTCTGTGGGCAGGCGCAACCCTTCGCGGAGCCCCTTGCGCGTGGTCACCAGGTCCTGGAGATACTGCTTGAGCTCTTCCGTCCAACGCTGACCCTGGGGCAAAATCTGTTGGAATTCCTTCCCCGCCAGGACCCTGTTGCAAAGCTGCCTGCAATGGGTTGAACGGACGAGTTTGCAAGACTTCATGACCTTGTTGCAAAAGCTGCCCGCGATGGGTTGAGCGAACGAGTTTGCAAGACTCCATAGCCTTGTTGCAAAAGCTGCCCGTGATGGGTTGAACGAACCAGTTTGCAAGACTTCATAGATAGGATCCGGATGCCGTTGGGACCCCTTTCCGTGCTGCCTTACCGAACAGCATGTCCGCGATATGACTTTTGTGGGACATCTCACGCGGGTTCACGGTCGCCGCAATCGCTTTCGTAAACGAACTAGTCGAAATCCTTTTGGTAAGGATCGCGACGCCGTCTAGCTTAGTCCCACTCGTTCTATCTAGCGGAAACTAAAGCTTGGGCCTAAGAAAACGCACATCAAGTGTGCCGTGGAACGAGCTGATATCCTTTTGATAAGGCCGTCGAGTTAACCCCATCCTCTATCTAACAGCGGAAACGAAAACTTGAAGCTAACAACACACACAGACGTAGGGTGCCGTGGCCTTCGGGGTTCTGCACAGCATTCTGAGCCCGCAAGACGCCCTTCGCCAGGGGACACGAAACTTCAACGATAGCCTTACCTGACCTCCATCTTCGGGGTGTCTGCACGACTTTCTTACACCGCAAGACGCCCCTCCACCAGGGGACACGAAACGTCGACGATAGCCTCACCCGAGCTCCATCGTAAGATGCCTTTCACTAGGGAACGTCAACGATGGCCTCACCCGATCTCCGACTTTTGGCAGGGTACACCAACCTCACCTGAGTTCCTTCGGCGACAGCGTCTTCTCGTGGAGGAAGAGGTTGGTGGAGGTGACCTGCGTCATGAGCTTGGCGTAGTCCACCGGCTGCCCGACATCCAGGAAGTCGTCCGCCCCTCGGATCTTGACGCGCATGTTGGCCTGAGGAAGGACAAGCCAAACCGTGCCGTGGCAAACAACGCCGTTTACGAAAGTTCAACGGGTTGCTGCACCACATTCTATTGCTTCCCACTCACCCAGCAGTAAACTCCTAACACACCAAATGCCACCGCTACCGCCCAAAGGCACACACGGTTTCTTCTTCTTAGTACAGTGCCTCCATGTCAGGAAGGGATGTGGTGAAGTCTTTTCAGTAAGTGGATTGAAACCGACTGGAGACTGGGCTTATTTTGAGTTTGTGTAAGCCTTACACTGAGTTATCAGTGATGCCAGTTGGTGCTAAGAACAAAAGCGGATACATTCCTCTTCTTGGTACCTCCATGCAGGAAGGGTTCAGCCCATCGTCCCCGTAGACGAACTGGATGATGGTCTGCTCGCTGTTCCTGACCGTGCGGTCGTACTGCATGCTCAGGTCCTCCAGCGCCTTCATCAGCCGCCGGGCCATGTACCCAGTCTCTGCGGTCTTGACAGCCGTGTCAACCAACCCCTGTGTACCGGAAACCGCCAAAATGTTTAAATGGACAACAAGTGAACGGGCTGTTCGAAAGCTGTTTTTCGTCCCCCACCATTTTTTCCATCTTCTGGAAATGAATAGGAATGAATGGTCGAGTGTACTTGTTTTTGTTTGGGGTATTATTTTTCAGTGTTGGGGACGCAATAATATGGCGGGTGGAGGATTCAAACCCGGGTTCTATTCTTGCAAAAGCAGACATGGCATCGTCTGTATGCCAATGTGAACAGACCCGGGTTGTGGAAGCGGTTATCCACAGCTCTGGGATCGACTCTTTGTACCGGCGAGGAGTGGAAACAGACCTCACTCAATTACCCAAGAGACCAAGACCCGCCTGGTGTACCGGTAGACTACCACAGATATCCTCAAGCCATTATGTTTCCGTAATGTCAACAACAACGAAACCACGCACCAGTAAAAGCAATCAACAGCGATGGCGACAACACCAAGAGAAATAGGTTGGTTGAATAATCGCCGGGCTAAAGGGCTGGACGTTGGAACTTGGTCAGACTGCGAAACATGCAAGCGTGTCGCCGGTTTCGGGCGTCTGCGACGATGTCGTGAAGAAAGCAGAGCTCGGTACTGCAGGTAAGGTCCGACAAGCAGGACCATCAACTAGTGACTCAAATTTCAGCGAGAGCTCAAACTTCCTAAACAAAGACCCAACGGCATCAAAAGGCACATATTTCCCGAGCTGTGCCTTCTTGCCCATCTGGCTTCATTCGATTCGGGTACTTCACACCACTATGCAGCAGCAGCAATAAAGGGTACCCTCTCGTACCGGATACACGTTGAAGGTACCCTGCCGTAAGTACCCTGGTTCGGGCACTTTTGTAACCGTACCCTGCATCTGGGCCCGGTGTGAAGGTACCCTGCCGCATTTTTCTTTTGGGTCCGGGCACATCAAAGGTAGGAGTACAAAATACTACACCCGCGCCGGGTACGTGCTCCCGAAGTCGGGCACTTGGTAATCAGTAATGTACAAAAGGGTGCTCGTCAATACTTTTACCGCCAAAAGCATTAATCAAAGTTCCGGAGGAGAGAAAAAGGGGAGTTACAGCACTTCCTCTTTCCCTGCACAGCCCTCTGACCCCCCCCCGGGTATGGTCAAATGACTACGGCAAGCAACAAATGAGTACGCCCCCCCCCCCGGGTATGCGCTGTTCTCACCTCTCGGCCCCCCATGGTGTGGAAGAAGAACTCGGTAGCCGTGAGTCCGCTGTAGAAGCTGTTCGCCACAAAGCCCTTGGCCGCAGGGAACAGGCTGTTGGCCTCGAAGTGCGGCAGCGTCCTGAAACACACAAAAAAGAAAGGTACAAGCGAGTGCACACGTACCGTGAACTCATGGCTGAAGCAAAAAAAACGGTACAGGCAAGTGCTTGTCGTGAACACATGGCCTGTCTGCCTACGACGGATCGGGGTACACAAGACTGCCTGTTCGAGCACCCAGCAAAAGTCTGAATGGCATACCCGTTGCAAGGCCTAAGCAGTGCATGGCACGGGATGACAGGAGCGAGAAGTACAGAGATTAAGTGGGAGTGCAGATAGGACATGTTGGAGCACGGCAGCATGGAATGGAGAGCAAAACGGGCGCGTGCTTGACGGGTTGTGATGCATACGCTTGCCCTCGCTGACTGCTCTGCCGGCAGCGACTTGAAAAAAAAAACACAACAACCCCCTCATGTTAAAACACCGACAATATCAGACGACAACAGCATGCGTGCTTCCTTCCGCTCCCGAGTGAACAGAGCAAGGGAACGCAAGACCGATCGACACCACCCGACCGTGATTCACGGTTCCCCATCCGCACCGTCCGTGGAAATCACCTGTTCACGAACCCGTTCTGGATGCGCTTGCCCCCCACCGACTGCTGCCCCACGCAGGCAATCATCTGGGAGATGTTGAGCGGAGACCCCTTGGACCCGCACTCGGCCATGATACGGGGGCTACGCAGAATCGCGGCACGAGGGGCGGCCACACGTACCGTAACCGTGCAGAGTGAAAAAGGGCAATTTTCAGGCTCGTGGACGCGTGTGGACGGCGTGCCGGTGTCGTGCAATGTTGGACAGATTTATTATAGCTCCTACTTGGGAGTTCCAACACCGTGCTGATCCGTACACCACGCGGCCCACCGCATTTTATAGCAAGAAAAGCAGTAATTACCACCCATTCTCGACAAAAAACATATCGCCGGACCGCTTCCCTACAAGCACCCCTTTGTGACAACTGGCTAATAGCCGTTTTGTCAAACCATGAAGGCCATTTTATACTGCTGGCAGTGTAGCTCGAGGCATTCGTGACAAATGAACAACGGCCGCGAACGTAAAAGTTGGCACAATAGTCGTTCGTGCCACGAATGAACGGTGATGATAACAACACAAATAACAGCATACCTGTTAACCCAAGGCAAGGCCTTCATGGCCCCTGTCCCCGCAGTCTCTCGAAGCTTGCCGAGAAGCCCGTTCAGCTCACTCTCTAGCGACTGCAAGGGTTGCGGCAAGGATGCAACAAACACGGACAGCACACCACAGCACACAGCCAAGGTCGAAACACCGGTGATCAATTCTGGTACAATTTTGAGTGTCAAGTTCAGGAGCCGGCGACACAGTTTTCGGACGGGGAAAACACAGCTACATTGAAGCATCCGTAGCCATTTTCTGTCGTGCGGGTTGATAGCAATCCAATCAACCTTCCCAATCCAATACGAAAACCCGATGGTCACGATACCAAGGATAACAAGATACGAAAAAACTTCAAAAGATTTGACAGAGCTTCGTGTAGACATGCTGATTGGCTCGGCTCCTTTCCTCGGTTGTAAGCCAATCAATCGCAATCGGCCCCGTAACATGTTCCGCAAGGCTATCGCCGGTACATAATATCTTGTCATGAAGGGCAACCTTAGTCCGCCCGTCACGCCACGTCGCCCGCGGCCAGGTGTCTTGCGTCCCCCACGGAATCACACAACACGCCTTTACCTTGATAGACGCGTAGGTAAACTTGAATAGATATCTGGTGTTCGTGGAAAGAGGAAGTCTAATCGTCCTGGATCCCTTTTCCGTCACTCCCGGTAGGGTCATTACCGTGGCCATCTATGGTGCGGAATTTAAATTGACCTACTAGATGGAATCGCAGCCCAGTTTATTAAAGGGCATCCTGGTCTCTACCTCGCCATCTACGGTGTGGAAATTTACCTGGATGGCATCGCAGCCCGGTTTCAGGGGCATCCTGTTGTTGTTGAAGAGCCGAATCTGTTCATCGGCCTCCGTGTAGCCATCGGTTAGGAGCTCGTGCTTCAGCGCCGATAGCTGCGCCCGCCCGCGAGAGAGCCAACGACAGAAGAATCCAATGCGCAAGGTCAGACCTGGGATACCCTAACTTCACACTTCCCTCCGGGAGCGGGAGAACACGTTGAATGTAGAGGCAGAGGCGGCGGCAGTACACTGCTGTGCCATGTACACAGTCTACACCACCTTCTTCCGCGGTGGGGGGGGGGGGCGCGCGGCTGCAACCAGGGGGGGGGGGGGGGG